TGGCCATCACCATGCCACTAAAATAGCAGCACCCATACACAAGAGGAGCTTGCACTAGTTGTTAGGGGATACCTAAGATTTGAGAATTTAGGATCTAAGGTAAACTTGCTTCTTGTGTAAAGATGGAAGAAATCCCAAGGGTCATTTAGCCCAATGTTTGAATCAAAGCTAGCCCACAGATATATAAAAACTGTGTGGCTGGAAAGGAGAAGGAAGAGACACAAAGGAATATATAGACAGATGTATCCCGTTGTCTAGGTAAGTAATTTACTGTCATCTACTTAGAAACTATTTTTAGAGAGCTCTAGGGGCTGTGTCTAATACTCAGTTGGCTTATCACATTATCATAAATACATTTGTTAATGTTATGTCAAATAACTGCACATCAAAAACCAAATTCGAGCATAGACTTTAATGTTAGCTGTGGGGGGTTAATCATCAAAACCAGAATCTCAGGTAACAAATGCACAGCAGAGACTGACAGCGGCACTCTGCTGTGTGGACTGGGACTTCCTTCCTCTCATTCAAGCTTTGGCTGCCATTGCTTATGTGGCAAAAACACCACCCAAATGAGTACACGTAGTCTAGAGGGGCAGGGTAAAAATAGAAACATAAATAAACAAACAAACAAATAATGGCTGTCATTAGCCTTCAGGAAACCCCAGATTGCAGAAGTAGAAAATACCAACCCACTGGTGATTAAGCATCATCACAGACATGAAATGGCAATACTTTTGCATGGTGAAGTGGTGGGATTGACAAACGGTGTGTGTGTGTGTGTGTGTGCAATACAGAACCTTCTACATTACATTGTTGCAAGTCCCATAAATGTAAGCAATGTTCAAGCTTCCACTTCCTTCTTCCCTAACCTCCTGGATGGCTTTCTTTCTCTTTCCATAGACTGTGCTCTCCAGATATTTCAACTTAAAACGTCCATCAACCCTAGCCAGCAGAGGTAATAGTAAAGGCTTATGTAAAGGGGAGCCCCCCCCCCCAAATTTAGAGTTAGTTGCCCACTTCTGGCCTAGATCATTTTGCTTCTGCTTCCCTTTTCTGGGGAGGAATAGAATAAAAGCCCATAGACAGTTGTTCATTTCTCTTTTCTTTCTTCACTGACCCGGCTGCTTTGTGAGCTGGGGGCTTTCCAACCAACTGCTACACCAACAAACCACAGTGTAGAGTCCACTCAACTGAGAGAAGTAGCAGCATGACATTTCTCTTCCAAATAATGCAACAAAGATCAAATAGTATGGGTTTGTTTATGACCAGTTTTAACCCAATTCCAGCTTTAAAGGGTTGGAATGGCCTTTCTTAGCAGATCTGAAGAGGCAACAATTAGCACAATTCTCCTCTTGCTTGAGTCATCAGAAGTTGTATTTGGGCTACAAGTTTTCTTCCTTGGAATCTCGACACCGGTTCATCTTTGGGTAGATAAAGACAGATGACCCCACAGTGTGACAAGGTAGATTGCTTTCACACCACTATAAATATAGTAGATGGGAACTGGAAAGATAGTTCAATCATAACAGCCACACCCTAATTGTGGAACTGGGATTTTAACAAACTTTTGAACAAGTTTCCAGACTGCTCTGAAAAGGCCTACTTTGATTTCCTTTGGCACTAAGCAAAACTGTATTTTTAAAATATATATATTTTAAGGATTAGCATTGTGCTGAATTTGTCTTTTTTTTTACTGTGCCTTTTTCAGTCTAAAACATAAACATCTACTACTGCGCAAGAGTGGTATTATTTATTTTTAACATGCCTGGAGACTGGCGTCAGGATTAAGACACTGGGTGTTATGGGAAATTTTTTGCATAATTGCAAACACTCCAGAACCAATTGTTGTGCCACATAAAACAAAGACTAACAAAGAACTTAACCATTGCCTGTATTGATTCCACCTATTCCACCAGCTGTCCTCCAAATGTGGGCAGTAGGGTGCCTTCAGGAACCTCATAAATAGGAGGCGATAACGATGGTAGTCATATACTTTTTGCTCCGCAGCATTTGGCAATCGGAAACCGAAGTAGAACCTACAATAAAATGTTGCAGTGTGAAGTGCTCCTGTTCAAAGTTCCAGCCAACTTACTCATGGCCCGCATACTTATATTCTATCCCCCTCTTCCTCTCCCAGTTTTCAATTTTTGTCCCCTTCCAACAACCAAACTGAAATTCAGCGTGGCATTCAGCACATAAAGTTCTAGTTTTTTTCAAAGGTTTCTTCCCCACTAAGACACTACTTAAATAATTTGCTCCTGTAGCTTGTGTATACTTCTGCAAGCTTCAGGGTTCCAAAGGCCATCTACTGCTTCCCTCTTGGGTGTGGATGGTGTCACATCAGCATTCCAAAAGTAGTTTAGCTCTTTTATAGTGGGGTGGGAAATCACATGGGGTGTGTGCATCAATTCTCCATCCAACAGGTCACATCATGGGATACAGACATGAACTTCAGACATGTGTGGCTGAAATTCCTGGTTATCTCCAGGCCTTCTGGTGAAGATTCACTATCCAGCAACCTAACTTTACTCCTCCACTACTTTTGCAGAACAAAGTGCTCTCAACTGGTAGTTTCAGAAACCAACTGGGTCCTGAGGTTGGGAGATGGCTGGTTCTGAAAAGCACCAGCTGAAATCGTGGAAGACCACCAATTCCTCATTTTCTCAAAACAACAAAAAACAACAACAAACAAACCATAGGAAGCAAAGAAGACTGCTTTTCCTTTAAGCCAAAAGGGAACACCAATAGGATTCTGGTCAACAAGTTTTTAACCTAAACTTACTCTCTTAGGTGTCACAACCAACATTTTATTGCACAGCCAAATCAAAGAGCATCTTACGGTGTGCATCGCTTTACATTGAATACATAGACTGAAAGAATCTGCTCATCACTCATCTCATGAGGGGTACAGGGCTTGTCTGGCCACACTATAGTCAACAGTTGTGCCATAATAATTCTAAATGTTTTATCATTAAAAGAACTGGTGAAACAAAAAGTTAGGAACTTTGATAAGATGTTCCTGGGAACCTCAGCACATGATGACAACTGGAGCACTCCCAACATGCTTACCAACTTCAAGGAATGATCTCAAATTAACAAAGCAACACTATTTTTTTTGCAAAGCCCACATCAATTTCCACTCAAGAAAGCTTCTGAGCGTCTGACAAATTCTACCCTTAAATGGGATTGAGGCTGGAATTTGCTGAATAACAATGGCAAGCTTTTTAAAACAAATAAACATTTTTGACAGCAGATTTGTTTCCCTCTAATCTTTTTTGTGTAGTTCATTTTAGAAAAGCTAGAATTTCAAATTCAAGATTTTAGGTGAGATCTAATGTTGTAGCTGTTTTGTGCTTAAAATTATGAACTATTCATAGCAACTGTTTTTTTTTTCAATCCTAGTAGTTTTTCCAATACGATTGTGGAAAGCAACGTGGTGGGTGAGACTTAAAATCCATTACACTAGGACTAATACAGATTTGCTTCGCCTTTCTTTCTTTCCCATTTTTTCATTGATTAACTCCTTTTATAAACAGTAGTTCAAGTCTCCTTGTATTCTTGCTAAGGATATACTATTATATGATGGCGTATACTGAACAATGGATGCCACGAATTTTGTTCTAGCTTGCCTTGCTTTACACACAAGGTCCAACAAGTTTTAGCGTCAATTTAGTCAGATGCTATTCCCAAACAATCCTTTCCTCCCTTTAAGCTTGTTTTGTACCAATCCTATATGCTGCAACTGTCATACTGACTTGAAATTTAAACATTTAGGCAACTGTTTGTAGATCATGAACCAAAGATTGAGTTGCATTTTTATTACTGTACTGAAATTACATAGGACTTTATTTGTCTGACTATAGGGTTTCCCATTGAAAAACAAGATGAATAGATTGCACCTGATAGGTAAAAGGGATGCTGCAGCACAATTTGCTACACAGCAGGTTCCCCCCACCCCCTTCTACATCTGAAGTTCAAAATATCTATGGTTAATAGCTATTACCACCTAATACTTATTTAGGAATGACAGCAAACAAAGTATTTCACAGAAGTTTATAAAATCTACATTAGCTTAATAACAAATTAAAACTACTGCACTGATCCAAAACTGTCAAATGTAGCTGCCACCTCATCTTCTATGTACTCAAATAATACTTCTCTTGATAAATTTTAACACACCAAAATGCATTCCAGATCCATGACATCCAGAAAGGAACCCAGCCTTGTTTTCACATATCTGTTCCTAAAATTATTGCCATACCACCATACGTACAGTCCTAGTTTTGTGTGTTAGCATGCATATAAAGTTTTTGTAGTTCATTTCTGGGAAAAGTCAATGCACATGACATAAATTTTGTTTATGTTTATGTTTCCAACTATGCTAGACTACATACCTTGAGTGACTGTTAGGTGCTTTGAAGAATGTTTTAAGTGTAACTAGATTAAGCAGGATTTTTTTAATCAATGATCAAAGGACTACCTACTTCTTCACAGAGAAGTTATGAAGTTCCTAGATACAGTAGGCCCAACTCTTGCTCAACATTTGTCATTAATCAAGATAAATGCACACAAAAAATACCCACTTCAGTCAATCCTCAAATACTGATCACTTTCATTAATTAGTTAAAAAAACCTTGAAAGAGGCAATAATTCCCAGCATTAAGGAAAACCAGAAGTAGTGGAACTATGTCATATTATTTATTTTTTCAAATCACTATAAACATTCTGAATTTAATAGGTATCTGGGATTTTTAAATAGCCTGATGCTATTTAATTCAGCACCATATATTCCATGGTTGAAACAAGTCAAGAAACCCCAAATAGCCAAAAGCTTTATTCCATTTTAACGCTGTGAAACTTGAGTAAAATTCAGACACTGAAATGTAAGATCCTTGGGATTGTGTTAGACAAACAACTATTGCTTTCTTTTCAATTTTCAGAAGCCTTAAAATGCAACCATTTTATAATTAACACCATGAATAAAAACCAAGTAGGATCAATTATGATACAAGTAATGTTTATACTTATGAACAGACTGACATGCACCAGTTTCACAAAATTTACAGACAACCCAAGCATCACAGAGAATGTTACAGCTTCATTAAATGTTGAAGGGTACAGGGTTTGTAATTAAGCAGGATCTTAAAAAGAACTAAATAGACTGGATGTTCAGGTGGTGCTTACAATCATAAAAAGCACAAGATAGGAAAGCAGCTGTAAACACTATGAAGAAGCTAAACAGTGCTAGTAGTTAGGGAATGTAACACTGATGGGGATAAATGAGTTTTCTACAAGGCTAAAATGAAACATACTCAGACAAAGCAGCATGACATTTTTAAAAATCGAGCCCTCATTTCTCATCCCTTTGGGTCAATAGAATTCCTTATATTTAAGGATTAACATAGATTAAATGTGAAAATTGACCTCACATTAATCTTCCTTGTCACTTAAAGACATAACATCGTTTATTCTTATTTTTATTCTTTTAAAATGAAAGGTATGGTAGGGATGTTGAAATTTAAAGAATGCAAAAAGCTATAGCCAATCCAAATGTTTTCTACAACTCTACTCATCAGTGTTTCCTGTACTGGTCACTATTAACACATGAAGGAAATCAAGGCAGCAGGGCAGAGACCACTGAGAGGATGAATTTAGCAAGCACTTTAAAGTGAAGGCTTCATCCCAATCAGCTGTTACCACTGCCTGAAACTGCCCTGCAGGCAATTCCTCATGGCAAACCAAATCACTGGCAACGCATCACATGAATCTCCATGTTGTCAAAAAGCAGTTACCTGGGAAGAGGAAAGGGTTGCATGAATGGGAATGGTGGAAAAAAGCAAGCTACCGTACTTGCACAGTGAGGTGCTAGATACTGAACACTGAGTATGCTGGCCAGTCTGTATCTGAATCTGCCATCACATTGCAACACCTGTGTGGTGGCTGTACCTTGAATCAGAATAGAAATTAAAGAACTTCCAAGAGTTTGTCTTTTGCAAACAGTGGGCCTTACTTCCAAGTAAAACACAAACAAGCTCTATCCCAACCAAGTTTTTTTTTTTTTTGGTCTTTTTGTCAGTCTTAATCTTGATCAAGGGACTCATTATGCCTCAAGTCTCTGCTTCAAGTTAGCAACAGCTTAAAACCAAATGCAGCAAGCAGTAGTGGTAGCAGGCATTAAGAAGGCAAGTCTGTTTTGGAAGTAAACTAAAGTTTAGCTTAAGATCATGTTTCAGTGGGTCGGTCTGCCAATAAGATGAAGACAAACCCCTGATGTGGCAAGAAAGCTACTCTCAGGATGTAAACTAGTTAAGAGCTATTCCAGCAAAAAGGAAGCCAAACTTTTATATATGTAGAGAAAAACCAAGACGCATCAAAGTGTCTAATGGAATCCCCTTCCTGGAATAGGGCAGTATTTTGTGTGAAATAAGCAGAACTAGGCATTACGCGGCGTTATCAGAAAGAGTTTAAGGGGAGCTATTATGAATCATTATTAATGGATTAGAACCAATATGGTACTTAAGCATAAGATTTTAAATTGTTTGAACTAGAAATCATTCAGTAGCCAGTGAAAGACAAAGCTCGCTTTGTTCATTATTTAGGTTGCATGCCCTGTCTTCTGACCATTCTTGTTGTAAGATTATGGCAAAGAAGCTCAATTTCAATATGGTAAATATTTGATACTGCGTATCTTGTGAACAAATAAATCCTGACAACATCCTTTAAAGTCTACTAGATTGGCTCCAAAATCTCTTCTACAAAAGGAAGGGCTCTCTTCATTGACGATGCAGCAGAGGTCCTCAACTGGAAGAAGGGAAAGTTGATCTTCATCCATTCTGCTCCTGCCCCGGTAAATCCTTTCCATTCTGTTCAGGAGAATTCTCTGACTATACAGAACAGCTTAGAAGGATGAATCAGCAAAGGTCATACTTCAGTACCACCTTGCCCCAGTGGGGGGAAAAATATTCACATGTGATGGTACAGATCTGAGCCATTACCTACAGTTACAAAACATAATCTAACCTTCTTCAGATAGAGGGGTTATGCTAGAATGTTAGCACTTATTTAATGTGGTTTGAAAAAAGGAACAAGATATGGTTTCAGGTGTAGCATGTGATATAGGATATACAAGAATGAATGCTAAGCAATGCTTTCCATCAGGCATAAAAGACTAACTTTGGCATCCAATAGTTTAGACCATGAATATAGGCACTTGCACTTTGATGTTGATGTAAAGGATCCAGATCCATTAATCAGGTTTTCAATCACATCTTCTGTGAAAGGTATACAGTAACACTCTGCAGGTAGTGGCAATCATTAAGTTCTCTTTTTCCTCCTCCTAATTTAGAAACTCTTCATTTCAAATACGTTGCTGAGGGTAGAACAAATCTTATAGACTGTAGTTTAAAGAACACCACAGTATTTAAAGAAAAAATTCACAGCAATTTTACAGAATGTCATGGGTTACCACCTTGCATCAACATATTATGAAGGATTATAACCTCATTATTACACCTGCATTTCTCTTTTACAGACCCAGAACAAGTGAATTTTAAAGTGAAAAATCTTAAGGCCTTCCCCATTTATACATACTGCATTACCAATCTATAATCCTTATCAGAAATCAAAGAATGCAATAAAGACCCAAGTTCTTTAAGGTCAGATACCACATGAATATACATTCCAAAATACAGCACTTACAATTACAAAAACAAATAGTAATTTTGCCACTAACTCCTTTCCCACAAAATAGTGCTTCTCACTGTTTTAGCAATCCTTTATTGAAGATAACAAGTTGGTTATGTTCACTGTATTGTATGAAACATCACAATATCATACTGGGAAGGTACTATCAGTACAGGATTGGACCAGAGCAGACAGTCTGAACAATAAACCATTTTGCATTCTTCATTCCCTAGCATTTAACAACCCCAAAGAAAAACCCAGTAGGGACAAATACCTGTTAACATTATCATTTAAACACTTTTAACTTACAAGGCTAAAATCTAATGAATAAATAAAATATATTGTGGCAATAATCCTCTCTAGACTCCCCCCCCCCAAATCAGATACACAATGAACCAAATGATTGGGAACACTGGCTATAAGCACCAGGTCATAAGAGTGTACATGGATCTACACTCAAGTGTGTGTGTTGGGGTGGGATGGAGCTTACAGAAAAATACTATGACTTTTATTTCACACAAAACCAGTTGATGACTGTCGTTAGCTTAAACTACACACAAGGGCAAATACATCCTGGTTGAAACACAGTTTAAACAAATAGGAAAATGTTTACAAGGCATCCACAGCATGTAGATCATGTACAGATGGATACATTCATTGTTTCCCTCCCCAACAGCTTTTATTTATTTATTTTTTAGATAAATACTTTACTCTTCTCCACTTTCAGCATTAACTGGACTCAATACATGCACAACTCAAAAGAATTAAGAAAAAAATAAGGTTATTGCAAAAATAGAATTAAACTAAGAATCTTCAAGTACCTTACATGACGGCCACTCTGTACCACTCTGTACCATGCCCATTGCTTATAAAATGAAAGGTCACTGAACCCATGAAAATATCTCTAATATTTTCTTAAATTTTAAAATAGATAATTTTAGCTGTATTTATAGTAATCTCAAAGTGATAATTTGAACTTTGTAAATAATGCAAACAATTAAAAATTATACCCATATTACACAAGACCTCTCTTTTAAGCCGATAGAAATCAAAGGAAAAAATCTATAGAAAACCACATTTAGAACAAAATCACAATTTACATTATAATAAAGGCAAATATTCAGCATTTAAAAAAACTTGCAGCGATGTGTCAGATGTCAAAGCAAATTACAACTAACCATAAATTAAGTTGTTTGGTTTTAAAAGATTTTTTTTTCTAGCAAGAGTTTAAGGATGTGTTTTATACACATGCGTAAAATTCTTATTGGTTTTAGATGACTAAAATCTCCTTATATTATTGCCAAATACACTTTTTATCTTAAGCAAGCACTAGGCAACATATCACAATTTGCACACTGCAGGGGAAAACCTAACAGTCTGGTAATAAAGGTAAAACTGGAAAATTAAAAAAAAAAATACACATCCTATAGCATGTTGCCCAACTGAAATGGCTTTCAAGCCCAGAGCTGCAAAAGCCTTCCATCTTGTTAAGGTGAAGTAAGTGTCTCATAACAATTATTTGCACACAGCTGTGCAGGTACTGTAAGTTTTGTTAAACCATAGTGTGTCTTCAGAGTACAACTAGAATCCCATGGTACTTTATGTACATTTAGTGATGTACTCCCAGCATTATTCCTTCCTCAGGTTTTTAGGGCTCAGGCTCTGTAAAGAGGGAACCAATATGCCCAAGGCTGGTAAAAATACTGTAGTACAGGCAATGCTAAGAGTGGCAATATCAGAAAACACAAATATGAACAAATGATGGAAAATCCCAATAATTTCTTTCCGCCCTTTTCACAAAATGTTGGAAATCCACCAGAATTTTTCCCTTGTATTGAAGAAAACTGATTAAAAGTTTTTCCCCCATTTTTCAGATTCAAAAGCATTTTAGTAGATCTGTAAGGCTACCACGGATCTTCTAGATCGCCAGCACCCTACAGGAAAAGAAGAGAGAAATTGTTAGTGTTCTACTGACCTAAAGAAGTAAAAATCTATATTGTCCTGAATTGCAGCATAGGGGAGACATGCACAGAAAGGGATGAAAAAATGTATTCCTATCCACATATGGCCACTTTCTTAAAAGAAGCAGCACTTCCCTCTCCCATCCCAACAACAATACAGATAACCTGAAACAGAAACAAAGGAAGTTGATAAACATGTCTGTTGACCAATCATTTAAAATATTTAAAACCAAAGAAGCCGAGGTGACAATCATACACAGAGGCACAGTTAACACATGAACTATTCATATTTTTGTAGCTTACAAACTTATAGTTCATTCTTTATATGGTGCTCTTTGAAAGGTAAAAAAGCTATTAAAGATATTAAATGTTGACTGCATACATTAAATTTTTGCACTAAATTCAAACTTGATTATCAGATTCCGATCACTATTATGTTATAAAATTCATGTATATTATTCCTAAAATAATTTATCACAGCTCTGATTGATGGCCACTTATAATACCAAAACTGCTTCAAATAAAGTCAATATGCATTGAGATTATTCCACACTTTTTTTATTTGGTCTTAAACAAGAACTCATGAACTAAACACTAATTGTCAGTACATTTCATCCACTGGATACATAGTGCTATACATGCATCCTGAATACAGTCTGGGAAAACTGGGTACAATCAACTTTTTTATAGTCCAAATTACAACCTAACATGAGTACCACATATGTAATGACTAAATTAACACATCTTAACTAAAAAGACTAACATGTTACTGATATGACCTATGCACAAGTCAAACACAAACATGCAGCATTTATACCACCATTTTAAATCAAACAAAGTGAGTTATAATCAATAAATTGTAAATGCTGGAATAGGATGACAATGTTAGGCTCTAGCAAAATACGATGAAAGCAATAGAAAAAAACTGTCACTGATCACTGTTTACAATATGACATTCCAACCCAAATGCCATTGTGACTCAAATGCATTCAAACATCTTGACCAATACCTAGGACAGAGAAAAAGCAACGATAATTCTATTCAGGTCAGAGATTGTAATACTAATATTCTCAGAAAGAGCTCCCATGCGGGCACACATATATACATAAAATGCCTTTTATGCATATAGCAGTACATATAAAAGTGAGAAAAGTTAACCTTGTAAGATGTAACAAATATGAACAGACCCAAGACATAATGAATAAAGCATCAAAGCAACTTTGCAAAAAAGTGGAGTTACATCTTTTCATCGTAATGTTCATCTCTCATCTCTGAATCTTCATTAGCATTCTGCATTTCAGCAAGCTGGTCCATACATTCTGCTTTGGAGTCTGTCACTTGATCACTGGTTCCTTCACTGGAGTCTGACGTTGAGGCTGTAGCTGAGCCAGCATTAGAGCAACCTTCTCCCTGCATTTTAGCTAGCCTGTAACTAATCAGCATGTCCTCCAGAAGGTGGCGGTAGTTCCCCCTATGAGTAATTCTCACTTGTCTCAGAGCTTCCACCAACTTTCCCTGTGTTCCACCTTCCACGCCTTCGTTGGGGTCCTTATTTAAAATTCAAGACCCCAAAATCAGTAAACTAATGTATTTCTAAAATATTTAATACATTCGACAAGTTATGAAAAAAAAAGTCTGTGACTTAGAAATAAAAATTCAACCAATCTTTGTGAGTCTTTGCAAGAATATTTTACATGAGTTTGAGTGCTCCAGTAACAATCAAAGGACATTTTCAAACATTGAAAAAAATAAAAATATGGAACGAGATCTTTATATTCTGCCAACTGCTGGTCCTCAATTGTGTTTATTATAGTTACATGTAGATAACTGGATATGATTTATAATTTGGGTCTGTAAAACTATATTATGGATCATTAATAATGTATATAGCAAAACACAATTTTAGAAACCCATGAAAAGCTTAAATAAAATGATTGATTGTTCAGCTGTTTTATGGGAAAAATTGTCAATTAGATTAATTAATAGGAGTACTAGGCATTTCTTTCACAGCAAATTCCAAGCTAATATTCCCCACAAACAGAAGCGTATCCAGAATACATAAGAAGTCACTGAAAAAGCTTTTCACTGTGAATACAGCCTCTTCAGACAATATCCCTAGAATCCAGGAGATACATTTAAATTTCAGTTTGCTGCAGATTATGATTTTAAGATGCCCCAACAAAGCTGAAAGGCAAGTGGTACAGTACAAAAAAAGGAAGTATTTCAAACAATACATGAAACTGGAACCTTGCTACCACATACGACAGACAACACTTCAAGATTGCTTTTAAAGGGTATGAGGCATGTTTATGGGGATAGATGTATCAGTGGCAATATACCAGCTTCAGAACAGAAGCAGTACACTACCATATACCAGATATTGAGGAAGAAGAACAGCTAAAGGTTATGACTTTTTAGCTTGCTTGCAAGATTCCTAATAAATATGGCTGGTTACTGTGCATCTAAGTTGCTGACCTAGACAGGGCCTCTGGTCAATGATGACTCTCCTCATATGTTATATTTGCTTATCTGGAACTCTAAATATAATTATATTATGAGACAATGGGGTGCGTGTGTAATTTTGCAGAGACCAAATACAGGCAACCTGTGAAGTATTTTTATAAGAATTATACTTTCCTTGGTCAGATACACAATAAAATGCTTAAATATAAACTTCCTGGCTTTTCACTAAACTCCTAGTTTAAAATAATTGAATATATAAACTGGTTCAATCCACAGAAACTAGACCCACTTCAGAGTCGCTGATATTCCACACTGGCTTAAATGTCCTATGAAATTCATGTTGCTGTGCGTGTTTTATGCTGCAACGTCATATCTGATTTACAGTAACCTCAACAAGGCTTTTAAGATATATTGGACATTTCAGAAGTAGTTTTACCACTGCCCCCCCCCCATGAGCTTCCATGGCCGAGCAGGGATTTGAACCTAGCTCTTCAAATCTATCTACCTACACCAAACACAATAGAAACTGATCAGGAGCAAACAATACAATGATAAGTCATAGTATGAGCAGTTACACCATGAAACTAACTAAACCACAAAAAAGACCAAGAACTGAGTTTAAAGGCAAGAAGGAATGTGCAGTTAGAAGTATTATAGCTGTGCTGAAGAGAAAAAACCCTAAGGAGGAAACAAAACAGGGAAGATTCTGAACTCTTCACCCATGTAACATTCTTGCTTTCAATTCTCACCTGAAATTGTGTTCTTTGGCCTTCAGAAGCCTCTGAAGGGGGATGTAGAGGGGGAAATCCTAAAATATGCCATGTATCTCAAAAACCATTTTGACAATTAATTCAAGTATTAAAAATAAAACTATTTTTTTAAAAAGAAAACTGGCATTGGGCCCCCACCACCACCACCACCACAGGTGGAACCAGTGGAAGTGGCACATTAAACACTATAGTACCCTATTTTAGGGGACTTAATTATACACTATCTCCCTCCTGATATAAGCCTTACACTGATTATGCCCAAAATAAGCAATAACACAGGGATAAAGCATATGTTTTGCAGACAGAACATCCCAAAATTCGACTCTACTTTATACTGATTTAACAGTTATTGTTCAACCCCACCATCGTTTCCTTTTCCATTTTTCATGTTAATGTTCACTGATATTATTCTTAATTGTTTAATTTTGTATTAATTTATACTTTGTCCTGTTATTGTATTGTTTTATTTTATATTCTGTTTTATTATACCACATAAACCGCCTGGGCTGCCAGATGGGTGGTATATAAATAAAAAAATAAATAAAATAAACTCCTGGCGTTCCCAGGTGAAAAGTGAGGAAAACTGTCATGCGAGATTCTGGATAACTGCAGCCACTCCAAGGAGACATTGGGAAACCATATGGTACAATAACTTGACTCAATATAAAGGAATATTCTCTGTTCCATAGGGATATAAAACAGAATGAAGAAAAAGCAAACACAACAACATAATGCTTACAGCATTTGGTTTCAACTGTATTCTAGGCTCTTTTAACAGCTGACTCCCTTGGCAAACTATAGCTGATCCACTAAGGACAAGCAAGATATTGCTATTACCTCCTCACCTGAATCCCTGAAGTTAGAAATACAGTACAAGACTGAAGTACCTCCTCAACATGAATGATCTACAAAAAACTATTTATTTATCTTTATTGTGTCTCTTACATTCTCCCAGTTTTCTAACTTAGCTTATAGAACAAATGATACTGTATTCATATGAACACTGATTACAATAACTGGGAGAAAAGTTAGAATACAACAATGTCACCTATAAATTCAAGCTTCCATGAATTAGAAATAAATGTCTCAAATTTGGGTTTACACCATTTATTGGAACAGACAATCAAATATGGCATCAGGGATGCCTGGACGGGTTCATTAAATTGTTTTGTAAATCAGAGACTACATTAGAAGAAGGAAATGTTATATATGCCCTGCAGTGGCAGAGCACTTGTTCTGCATGCAGAATATCTTAGGTTCAATTTTTAGCATCTTCTGGGGGCAGGAAAACCCTATTTGAACCCCTCAAAGACACAACACCAGTCACTGCAGAAATAATGAACCATTGGCCTTACAGTGGTCTTTTGGGCTTAGAAAAAATATATAAAAATAAAGAAGCTTCTATATAGCTCCTACGTTGCTTTTGCCTCTAACAACACAAACAAACTGGCACTTCTGATGGATTCCGTATCTATCCGAACACAAAACATACAGGCATACATTCTAAATGTGGTAAAATCAATTCACATGAATTTGTGTCACTACAGATGTAAAATGACAGAACACTCCTCATCACCTGAAAAACTGAATGGAAAACTCTTGCCTACACCAGTTCAAGACTAAGGCAAAGACACTGGAAAAAGAGTAAATGAAGAAGAATGGAGGAAGATATGGAAAATGAGGGTGTTAAGATTTATGTTGGTAAGAATAAGGGAAAAAAATTTAAACTTAGTTTAAGAAGGTATTTAACACCGTTAAAATTAAACAAGATTAATGCCAATCATCCGAATGTCTGTTGGAAATGTGAGAAAGAAGTTGGTACATACTTTCATATGTGGTGGGAATGTGAAAAAGTGCAAAGATTTTGGAAACAAATTTTCAAAGAATTAAGCTATATGTGTGGGAAAGATATAGAATGTAATGCTGAGATTGCTTTGTTATCAATATATGAGAATGTAGAATATGACAAAATGATTAAAGAATTGATAAGTAATTTATTAACAGCAGCTAGACTGATTATTGCTAGGCAAGGAAATTAAAAACTGAAATGCAAATAGAAGAATGGTACAAAGAAATATGGAATATAGCAATAAATGATAAATTAACTTGCAATTTAAAGATTAAGAAAGGAGAGTTGAAAAAGAATAATTTTTACGAAATATGGGGCAAATTTTTGGAATATGTGCTAAGCAGCAGGAGGAGGAGGAGGAGAAGAAGGAGGAGGAGGAGGAGGAGAAGAAGAAAAAGAAGAAGAAGAAGAAGGCAAGAGGTCCCTTACATGGTGGTGGGGAACACAGTTATTGTATTTGAGTTTATATGTTTTATGTATATGTTTTTCTTTATGTTATAGTTATAGAAAATTAAAAAAAATTAAAAGAAAGACTAAGGCAAAGAATCTAAAAAGCTCCTTCAAAAGTGCAGTTGAAATGATGGGATTTGATTTTAAGTGAATTTATTTAATACTAAAATATGAGATTCCAAATCCATTTAAAACACAAACCAGAATTCTACATACCCTGAGCTACACAGAGAACAGTCAATTCCATGTGCAATTACCCTTTTCATGCTGCTTGCACAAGGAGTAAATAATAAACCCTTCATGCAAGTGTAAAGGAGTAATCTCCAACTTACATATGTGAGAGCAGGAAATGACCAGGACAAACCCAGAGAACTCTGAGCAGATATGTTATATTCTGTGTTTCTAACAAGAATGCTGTAGAACTAAGAGATAATGATAACCACATGCTCTCAAGTCAGTTCTTATGGAGACCCTTTTTCAGGGTTTTCCAGGAGAATACTCAGAAATGGTTTACCACTCCTTTCTTCTGGGGTCACCCTGGGACTGTGCAGCTTGCACCTTCCTGAATAATTAGGAACTTTTTGCAACAAACTAATGCTCATGTATTCTTCTCACATTTTGATTAAGTTGGTCACATGAACATAAATTCCAAAACGTTATTTATTTATTTATTTGATTGATTTATACCCCGCCCATCTGGCCTATATACAGTGGAACCTCTACTTATGAACATCCCTACCTATGAACAATCCAACTTACGAATAGCTCCGGCCGCAAAATTTTGCTTCTACTTGCGAATGGAGCTTCAAGATACGAACAGAAAAAGGCAGGGGAAAAAGGCGGGCAATTCAAATTTCTAACTGTAGGTGGCACCGAGGCTGCTTCTTTGTGCTCTAGCTCTTTCGGCAGTTATAGGGTGTGTTGCAGTTGGAGGCTTGGGAGAGCCTCCTGCTTTGGAGTGTGTGTCTGCATGGAGGTACGCTGCTGTTTTCTCCTTTTAAAAAACTGTTCCTGGTGAGTTTTGGCTGGGGTGGATATGGTTCTTGGCTGTGTTGTTGGTGGCTTTTTTTCTTAATGACTCAGCAACGGAGCAGGGTTTACTATTTATCGTTGGAGTGTTTTCCCCCTTCTTAAAGCCTCAGTGCCTTCTGACCGCACTTGCTGTGTTCTTTTTGGGGGGGGGGCATTTTTTCCTTTGGCCAGAACAGATTAAATGGCTTTCCATGCATTCCTAGGGGAAATGGAGCTTCTACTTACAAATGTTTCAACTAACGAACATCTTCTGGGACGGATTAAGTTCATAAGTAGAGGTTCCACTGTATACCCTTTACACATTTCATTAATTAATAACCTATTCTGCATTTATAGGAATTTGACATTCATTTCTACACAGGGAACAGTTTAACAGACCTATGAAATCTGATAATAAAATAACATTCAGTATGATGAAGTCAACTCTGATGCAGATTAGTTTCTGGGATGGAACACTTGCAGCTCAAAGCATAGTTCACTTTCTATCACATGTCAAACTTAACTTCCTATAACAACATAGCATGAAACTGATGGAGGATATACATACAGAGTCTAATTTAGCTCAACATCCAAGAAAAAAATGCAACCCAATCAAAACAGCTACCACAACAAATTTTACACAATGTATCAAAGCTGAAGGCCCATGTTTTACAATGCTGCAGGAAATCATTATGAACTATGCAGATTTCCATTATAACCTCATTGATTTTATGGTTTTTAGTGCAATTTGTTTTTGCTTCAAGCACTAAGAAACCTGTAGTTTCTTGAAAACATACATACTTGCCTTCTTGTCTCTAAGAGTATTCTAGTTATATGATCAGTAAAATCTAAGAGGAATATTTTAGAACAATGTTTAAAATTCTACTAGCAATAGGCTATAGCTTATACTTAGGATAGATTTTATATGCTATAAAATATTAGTAATAAAAATAGCTGGATCAAAACATTACACTGAAGTTAAGTATCTATACAAACTTCAGAGATTGAACGTAGTGCCATATTTTGCCCAGATCTCTTCCCTGAGTACTTTTCTTTAGTCAAAAGTACTGTTTATTATATCATTAGCTCCTCTATTAAAATATATCATACTGTTTGTCTACCAAGTTAGATAAGCTTAAAAAATCCCACAACACAGAAAACTGAAATAAAAGATTAGAAGAGTATCTCGTAAAAGGGCTAACCACTGGAGCAACTCTAGCACGAAAACTATGTGCAGAGGTTGTAGCTGATTGCAGTGGAGTGAAAGGCCATTTGTTAAGTTTCCCAGAAGCCTCTGGGCTGCACCTTCCAAAGGAGAGGTTGAACCAGGAGAGGAATTCGCTCTTTTTATTTTTAAAATAGTTTGAAAGAGAAAAGGATTTGTGAAAATAAAAAAGCCCTGAGTACCCTCTAGCAGCCAGCGTTAACTAACTAACTAACTAACTAACTAACTAACTAACTAACTAACTAACTAACTAAATAAATAAATAAATAAATAAATAAATAATAGGGATACAGCAAGTCTCCAAGAGCACAGGAGCCACTGCAAAAGATGGGGGAAAAACTCTCACAGTTCACAAAAGCATAAATATTTCTGTGGATGTTGTGGAGGAAGGGAGTCAGAGATCACAAACAATTACCTAGTGGGCTGCATACAGCCTAAAGGCTGCAAGTTCTTTATCCACTGTGACAGAACACACACAAATATGCTTATTACTTTCATCTAATTATGTCATTGTAAGCAAATAAAGGTGATTAAGAAAGGTACATATTCCTACCATTTAAGTTTTTAAAAAAGAACAAAGGAATTTCTTATACTAATACTGTCTCCAGAAAAACACATCTAAAAGGGACTTATTAATCCTTAAAATATTTCATCGGTGGAAGTAGTCAGGCCATTTGTAAACAAACACACAAATACAGCATCTGCTATTGTCATTAGCATACATATGTTCACTGTCTATGAAAGCTAGTTATCAAAGGTAGAACTTACCCCATCATTCTCTCTGTGTGGGTTCAGTCTGTTATAAACAGCTTCAATAATATTTCGCCTAAACAAAGACAACATTATAATTGTACTTTAGGCTACTTTTCATATATTAAATCAACATTAATATTCTAAATATAGTCAAGTTGGGCTACATGGATCCTTCATATTTCAAACTTAGAACTTAAAACCAGCTCTTAAGAAAGAACAGCAAAAGACATCTATGGCCATTCTGTTCAGCCTGTAGATCTCCTGAATGTATAATGGTGGACTAGATGGGACTTTGGTCTCATCATCCTTATGAATTCAGAATCAGCACCACCCACAAACCTAGCAATTAGTGTCTATCTGTTGCTGCTGGTGATGCCACTCACTCCAAAGGAAGGCCATATCAAAACCCTCTGCTGAATGAACCAAATGAGTCTTCAGCTCCCTGGGTGGCCTCAGTACTCACACTCTTGCCTCTTATTCCACCCACTAAATAGAGTTATAAAGCTAAAGTGCAGTTCTGACTCCTTGGAGAAAGGGCAGGATAAAAAAACAACTGACATGCATAGTTGCTAGAAATAATAAGATGCAGCAATAGCTACCAACCAATGCTATAGATTGAAACTAGTTGCAAAGGAAAAAAAACACAGCCTGGTTCCATGCCCCCAACCATCCATTTAGATATATGTGCATCATGGATAGCTTAACTTTTTAATATGAAAAATGCACAATAGTTAGACATTTGAATAATTTAGCTAGGCATGATTTAATCCTGTACTGTATATAAATGTTTCACCCAAAACAGAAAGGGCTTTAGTTAAAAATTAAGGCACATTTGTTCAAAGCTATAATGAAGAGCTTTATTAATGTTCTGCACTTACTTGCCAGCTAGACCACCTCCTGGTGGTAAGTTTGGGATATTCTCTGCAGACAAAATGCGCATGACATGAGCAAGGTCGGGCATTCCTTCTTCTCCTGACTTCTCCATAATTTCTAATTAAAAGAAAACCCTCAAATTACTTTAAAAAATAGCAATCAAAGAAATCCCCACATTTCATATTTCAAGTGAATATCAGGCACAAAAACACCTGCACCCAAACTGAAAAGACACCCTATTTCATACAATAAACGCTACTTGTATAACAGTGTCTCAAGATGATAAATTACAGATGCACTCTTTACAGTGTTTTGAAACATGCATTATTGCTCTTAATTACCCTTTTCCCCACAAAGGACAGACAGCCTCTCATATTAGCATTATCTAGCAAAGACCGTTTTTGCACTAAACCACAAGTATGAGAAGAGCAAGACTTCTACAGGGTCAGTCTTTACTGGGAAATTGTACTTGTGCATGCCTTGCTTTCAGCTCTTGGCATTTAATAAGCCTCATATATATGTGAGAAAAGCTCAGCCTTAAAAAATTACTAGAAATTAAAATGAGTTGCCAGAGATCCACTAATCTAAAGAAAAGGTTGGATTCTCATGTCCAAACCCACAGATATATTATTGCATGATCACAAATATAAAAATATTTGGTGACAGCAGGGACACAAGAATTTAAAAAATATTCTTGTTTTACTGTTCTTAGGGGAGAGACAAAATCAGCATAATTCTGCAACATTAAAAATTAGAAAATGGCTGGCTACAGAAACTGAGTGACCACAAGTGGATAGCTTCAAGACTGTCACATCCCATGATTCATTTGGAGAATTCAGCTTTACAATTTTTAGAACATTAGGCATCCTTCAGTCTCGAAAGACTATGGTAACGTGCTCTGGATGGAGGACTTAGTTGTAATGCAATTGTGTGTCCCAAACTCTATCATACACATATGCATATTTGATGCAATAAAACAAAATTAGTAAAAAATGTTCTTTTTAACACCTCTTTATGGAAGGTATTTGTCACAAACTGTTGATAAAGAATCAATTCTACAGTTATTCTGATCCTCATATAGGTCCATTTTATTTGACACATGAAATTGCTTATTGGATAAATGACAATTCCACATATTAAATCAGAAGTAAATCCTACTGTGTTTCTCAAGGATCCCTCTTTTTTAAGGCATTTAGAATTGAAGTCTAAGTTGATATATAAAACACAAATTAATATTTTAATTCCCCAATGAACAAACAGCGTATTTCTATTACTGATACTAGTAAGTTAACAGCTCAAAACATGGTGCATTCACAAATTAAAATTATGTGGCATTATAATGTTTTCAAATCTGCACTTCTGAAGCAATTGTCATAATGTTCTTTAATTTTCCACAGCTTCTGGTGCTGTTACCCACTCAGTGAGACTTCTCAGACCTTGATTTTGCCACGTGAATTCATTCCACCTCTGAATTTTTGATCTCTGAAATTTCATCAGTCTTGAATGTTCTCCATAGTTTAATCCTTTTAGACCAAAGGGAGGGACCATTCAGGTCTGGGGCAGAATCCTGCCCACACGAAAACACCCGTTCCTCATGATACTTTTATGCGGTGGCTTCTCAGCTTGTACATGATGGTTTAAGGTACTAGCAATAAAAGTTTAAAGCACAATATGCTGGCATTCTAGTTCCTATATATGTACTTTTGGCTATATCCATCGAACAGAGTGTGGCCTCCTGAGAACTTTCCTGACATTTAATTCAATCAGGATGAATGAGGCTTCCCCATAACGTTTTCAGATACTGTAATGTTTTCTCTTCTTTTCCCTCTTTCTTCAGTCTTCTCTCAGAGTTTATTTTCTCATCAAATAGTGTGACTCGTTTCTTCCATACTTTATTTTGATCTAAGTATTTGCATCATTATGATACCCATCTAGATCTCTGTAAGCCCCTCTAACCTTCCAAAGGAACCTCCTTCTGTAACATAACAAAGTTACTAATCTTGCATCAGCTCTAAAAAGAAAGCTTTAACAATGTTCCTGACAGCTTCAGGCAGTTTCCATATATTCAGTGTAAGAATATGTTTTAGAATTGCCTTTCAAGTCTTAAACTATCTGTCACTTCTCTGAATCTAGGAACACCTGTTATATCACATAACAGACTCTGTAAAACAACCATCTTCTTTATAGCCATTCCCATGATCAACCTCTGCTCAACTTAACCTTTAAAAGTCAGAAGGGGAGAAGAGGAACAAATCGTGTTATCAAACAAGAACTGTTCATTTCTACTGTCATGTTTTCTCCCTACAATCCTCATCTGTATATTCAAAACTGGGGGGGGGGGAAAGAAGAAAATAAGAGCAGTTAACATGCTTATGAACACCACTGGTTCTTAACCTTGGGTTACTCAGGAGTTTTGGACTGCAACTCCCAGAAGCCTTCACCACCAGCTGTCCTGACTGGGGTTTCTGGGAGTTGCAGTTCAAAAGCATCCGAGTAACAAAGGTTAAGAACCACTCATGTACACAATGGGAGAAGTAAAAAAAAAAACTCACACTATTTTAAATTAAAAATGGGCCAGTCAACCAGCCTTCTCCCACAAGCAGAGCTAATGTACCAATTATGCTTGTCTGCTCTGCATGAGATACTACACCATTTTCTACTTAAGTTTTTCATCTGGATGAATGTACCATTTACCCAACATTCTCCAAGAGTAAGCGCTCAGATTTTTAAAACTCAGTCTTTTCCTCTCCAAGTTTCCTAACATGAATTCCTTATTCAACATGCTGGATAAATTTAAACTCCCAACAGCTAACTTTGTTTCTAGGCAAAAACCAAGAGCACTAAATAAGTTTTCTTATATATTTCTCATTAAGAGAAAACCTGAACAGTCATACTGCCCCACAAGCATGTTTTGCGGTCTTGTAAAAAATGATGCAAAATCACAATTTGTTCTTTTTTTTTAACCGAAGTTCGAGCTGTTTAATTAAGGAAACAATAGACATCTATCAAAGGGCAGAGTGAGAGTATTTATTGGAGTCAGGAAAAATCTGAAAATGAAATAAAGGAGTAAGGAAAAATAAAGCTGTATCCTTCGGCATTCTCTTCTGTTTTCTTTATATTCTTCTATTCTTGAAATAAAATTCTTTCAATATTCTAACTCTCATTTCTTGTCATGTATGTGTCATTTAAAGTTGTTACAGTTCATCCAACGTACAGGACATTGAATGACTTGAGTAATTCCTGTAGGGGGAAAAATCAAAAGCAGCACACATAGTATTGAAAAAAAAGATGGGCAACTTATTTTGCTGAATGTATAACATTATACATGACCTCTCCTATATATGAAATTGCCAGAAGAATGAATGATTTTTGGACCCTTTATCAGTCTACTGTACAGAATCCCATAGTACTTTCTCAACATGTTACCTCTTAGAAAGGAATTCCACTGATGCAAACAGTACATTTTATTATACCCAGTTTCTCCTAAAATAAGACCTAACTTGAAAATAAGCCCTAGTATAATTTTTCAGGGTGCTCTTAACTGGAACCCCAGTTAAGTGAAACCCCGCCCTCCACCATTATGCAGCAACAAGAAGATGGCATGACTGTACCTGAATAAATGTAATGGTTGTACAGGGGAAAAAATACTCCCTGAAAATAAGCCGTAATGCATTTTTTTCGAGCTAAAATTAATATAAGACCCTGTCTTATTTTTGGGGAAACATGGTAGTTCCCAGCCAACATCATGGACTAAGCTTTTAAGCTCCTGAAGTAAACTGCTGCTTGTAATGCAGTGTGGGGATTATGGTATGAAATACAGCACAGCACAGACATGGAGGTAAAAAGTTCATTATTCCATGACGCGCAATAGAGTTCTCTAAATGGAGAAAAGCATCAAACTGATGTCTTTGGCACAATATAATACAGTGGTGCCTCGACCTACGACCATAATCCGTTCCAGAAGATGGATGTAACTCGAAATGGTCGTAAGTCGAAGCACCATTTCCTATAGGAATGCACTGGAATGCAATTAATCTGTTCCGGCCGAAGAAAAAAATCACCAAAAAAAAAAATCACTGCAAGACTCATTAGAAACGTAATTAATCCCTTCTGGCTAAAGGGTGCGGGTAAAGAAAAGCATTCAAGCATGCAAGACCCACTGGAAATGCACAGAAAAACGGAGCAGATTGGAAATGCACAGAGAACAAAGGGGGCAGGTTGGAAATGCAAAGAAAACAAAGGAAAAAGCAAGGGAAGCATGCAGGACCCATCGGAAATGGGGAGCCCCCCCCCAAAAGCAACCCAACCCTCCAAGACCCATCGAAAATGGGGGGAAAGCTAAAAAAAACCCTCCCAAGACCCATCGGAAATGGGGGAAAAAACAAAAAAGCAACCAAACCCCCCCAAAATCCATCGGAAATGGGGCGGGGGAACCAAAAAACAAACAAACCCCCCAAGACTCAGTGGAAATGGGGAAAAAACCCAACAAACCACAAGACCCATCACAGGACAGAAACATAACCCCCCAGCCCAAAACCACACTGCAAAAACACCCAGAACAGTTTTTAAAAAGCAAAACACAGGCAACCTGAAGCCTCCCCCACACACGCTCACACAGAAGCGGAAGGAGGCAGTCCCAAGCCTCCTCCGACACACTCTCTCTAAATGGTGGGACGAAAGAGCTACAAAGAAGCAGCCTCGTCGCCACCTACAGTTAGAAATTTGAATTTCCCACCTTTTTTCCTTGCCTTTTTCTGTTCACAAATAGAAGCAAAATTTTGCAGCCGGAGCTGGTAGTAACTTGAAATGGTTGTAAGTGGGTATGTTCGTAAGTCAAGGTACAACTGTACAGAAGACTTTATAAAATGATTTTTGTAACAAGTTCACCAGCATCACCTATATGGCCACAAGTCCAAAGAACTAAGCAAAGCATGATTAGACAGAAACAACTGTTTCTAGTGCAGTGTTGTGTTGATCATGGTTAGGCCTTCAATACAGCAAAGATATGAAATAGCTAGTCATGGCCAGAAACATATTGATGTCCACATAAATTTTACGTAATTTGTCACAGGTAACTGTGTTTAATTGATGAGATGCCTGGCCACACACTCAACTGC